CTGGTCATTTCATTGCTATTGTTTATGAGATTTTACATGTATATAAGATCGTACGATATCATACGTATAAAATTAATTAAAAAATATACACATATTCTATCATCATTGTTTATATTACAGTTATAAAAATCATCGATTATCGATTCTTGATATTCATTGATAAGAATCAGTTATAATCGATATGCATTTCATCAAAATATATTCTGAATCAAGAATTTAATTTCCTTTTCTAGCCTCATGTTAAATCGGTAACAAACTCAACTGATTAGAATGTATTCAGAGCAAAACAAACGAGGAAAAATCGATCAATCGTCTCTGTCATGCAACGAAAAGAGTGAAGAGTAATACAACGGTACGAAATTCTCGGATATTTCGCGATCCTTTCGTCCTTTTCGAGGAGAAAAAGAAGGAAAAGAAACAGAGAAAGAAAGAGAGATTGACTCTGGCAGAATCACTTTCTTATAGACGATTAAGCGAGCGAGGTAAGCGACGGTCCGCTGCCACCGTAAGAAAGAAAGAAAGTTCTAGGCGTCAGCCTGCTAAAAATTCAAACGTGCGAATTTTCCCCGGGAATAAATTTCCAAGTTTCCCGGCCGCGAGAACAGCCGAGCAAATACATCGTGCCAAGCTTACCCAGCGCGCGGTCCAACTAGAAAGTTTGGCGCATTGTCGGTGAATAAACGGAAACGATTGTTGCGACACTCGCAAGAGGATGAAAGTTGTAACTTTGCGGACGCGCGATGTGCATTTATTGGTCTTCGCGATTGGCAACGAATGCGTCTCATTATGTGAGGTAAAGTAAATCAGAATAGCGCATTTTATGATAGAGTAACTCGTTCGAAAAACGAGAATGAAAACATCGTAAAACTCTCAAAGTATCAAGGTACTGATGTTGAAAAGAATATCTACAAAAAAGAAATTGCCATTCCCATCCTCCGAGGATTCTATTCTTGATCTTTACGAGATATAGGATTCTTGAACGCTATCGTGAATCGTGAGAAAATGATTAAAATGATATCGATAAAGTATTTAATGCGAAAAAAGTATCTTGATTAATGCGAATTGAATACAACAATGAATAGTATTTTCTTGGTCTCTTTTATGTGTAATCAGAATAGTTTTGTAAATATTCTAAAGATTACTACCACGCAAAAATAACACATTTTAATAATTAAAATTAATAATTGACTAGAAATGGAAAAAAATAATATTCTAACATAAGTATACACATATTAGATTAATGAAAAAGTTTTTTTCATTTTTTGACATTAATTTTACATGTGTGAAAAGCAAAATTATGTTTTTAACAATTTAATATTATGTTTTATATATTATATAAACTCTAATCTTTCTGTTCTCTTTTCTTTTATAATGTACAAAAATAAATTGTATAAAATGTGGATTAAAGAAGGAAAGTGAACAGCAAAATATGAACAGCAAAATGTGAACAGCAAAATGGACCATTACAGAACTACAATCGAATATATATGACTACAAGCAGAAACATTGCTAGTACTTGGGTCAATCATGGACGTGCTTTACGCGAAACTGCTTGTCGTAGTCGGAATAGCTGTGCCAGTCGCGACCAATCTTAACCGCAGAGTACCAGTTGCTCCGATCACATCACTGGCAACATTGTTGAACCATAAGTGCATCTCCCATTTGATTTACAATGTACGTATGTGTCTTGTCTCTATATACATTCTTATTACTGTAGTAAAGAAAATCTAAATCAATTTAAAGTAAATTTCTTGCCCAATTAGAACAATTTAGCTAAATATTAAAAATAATATATTTTAAGTTATAATAAAAAAACATTTTATATTAATAGAAATATTATGTAATAATTTTCAGAAATAACTGAAATGACATCGTCATAGTTTCCAGTATTAATTTATGAGTAATATATTCGTAATAGAAGCTTGGAAATGCTTAAAAACTATGCTGCATTAACTCGTACTAATCATATTTTCATTTTTCTATTATTATATAATTTTTTTTATAACGTGATCGCAAAACGTGATAAATTTAAATACATGTTCTACAATATCGCTAATATTTATTTCATTGTAAAACTGTTTCTTCTTATATATATTTCCAAAGCAAATTGACTTAAATTCTGGATACACTGATAAATTTTTGTTCTTATAAGAATACTATTCCTATTACAATTTCCTACAAATTTATTTTTTTTACATTGTACACGATTGTTTCCAAACATACTTTTTTTAAAGAAGAAAACAATCAAAGGATCGTCAAACTTTTAACTTGATGATACCGAAAATTTTCTCTTATATAAAATAATCAAATAACAATCTTAACAATAATAGTTAATGTTTACACAATTGAAAGCTGCATTTAATCAATCTAACAATTTAACAGATTAAAATGTGAAGCGATTTAAAAAATAGTTTAGCGATTCTCTTTCCATATTGCGAAGAGAGTGCAGCGATACGTTTCGCAACGAAACGATAACAATGAGAGTCTCGCAGATGTACTAGCCGGCTTTTGTCTGAGACTGGGTGCGGTGGTATTTGGCGCTGGTTCACTGGTATTTACTAGATTGCAAATTGGGGCGGAAATAGCTTCCGGCCTGTTCAGAACGATTATATCGGATATCAGGCTGCTTCTGGTCACGGCCCAGATGCACTTCATATTCCTGAACGGCAAGAATCTCGGGTCAGCCGACCACGCCATGCTCATGAAATTTGCTCCACTGCACTTGAAGCAATGAATCCCCATGAGTAATTACGTATAGGCGAAATTGTATCAATTAAATAAGAATAAAGACTCACATACATGTGATTCTAAAACTCAATGTACGATTATATAAAAAGTATGTCAACAATAATAATAAAAAAAAACAATAATAATAAACCGATTTAATTAGATTGATTAAATGCATTTTGTGAAAAGGTTGACTGATCATCATTAGGATTGTTAGTTATATTAATCATGAAATATTATATGAATCTAATTTAAGAGATCATATATATTATATTATATTATATGAATCTAATCTCAGAATATTAATTATATTATTTATATTTTTTTATAAAAAAGATCTATCATTATTAATTTACGTCCCTGAAATTTATTTTTGAACATTCTATAAAATTCTCTCATTTTAACATAAAATATTTCCACAATTATAGTGTTTCGGAAATCTTTTATAAGAAAAAATCGATTCAAAGTATTATAATCAAATTTTAAAGAAAAAATTTTGTATGTTAGCAAATTTTGTTTTACTTAAATTGGAATCCGGTATATTTTTGCGATATATTATACATATACATATTACATATTTTTGCATACATATATATATTTTTTTCACATATTTTATACTTAGCGATAATTTATGTAAAGAAAAATGTGTTAATTTCCAAGAAATGTTATACAAAATTAATGACCAAAACAAAATTTTATTAGCGCATATTGAAAAATATATTAGAAACGTTAAAGTTGGATTTACTCTCTAATTATTTTCTCCTAATCAAACCTATATATCTGGCATATTTCAATAATAGAAAATATAAATCTGATTGAATGATCGATTCTGCATAAATCTATTTTGTGAAAACAATGGAAGATTGTGCGATGGCCATAAATGGCGGTCACAAAATTGATGGAAATACGTACTTTTATCGACGTACTCGAAAAAGATAGACAGCAACAGCGCTGAAACGGGCCGGCCCTCAACAGTTTGATACGGTTTACGGTAAACACATTTCGGTGGCAATCACGTCATGGGGCAAGCAAGCAGCAAGCCAGCAAGCAAGCAAGCAAGCAAGACCGACAGAACCAAAGAGTAGATGATGCTTCCTAGGTTGGGGAAGGTGCGCGAGTGGTCGCTGAAGAGCTCTTAGCCGACCCTTTGTTGCCCCTGCCATCCCCACTTCTGTCATCACATAAGGAACGACAGGGACTACGGCAGAGCTATGGGGGTTAAAGGGTAGCCTCGCTCTTGGCCAAAGGCCTCTGATTTACTTAGCCTATCGAGTGCTCTGCCAGAAACTCGTCCGTTCACCAAGAATATCACATATAGAGTGTACAACAATCACCACGCAATGCTTTAATAGCGAATTCTTAAGATTACGAATTTAGAGTCGAAAATCTTATGAAATTACCGAGATCATAGTAAGTACTGAATTACTTGCAATCCAAATTTACTAATTGCGTAAACTTCTTTTAAATCTGTAATTATGTATCCGTGTATTGATTTGTCATTTGTGATTAATTGTTACAATTAAATAATATTGATTTTCGCTGTTTAATTGATTTTGTTTTTCTTTCATTTATAAGAATTATATAATGCAATACATCCACATACAAATACATACATATACACAATATAGTATTATCTAATTATCTAATATAACAAGATGATTATTAATAATAAGTTTGTATTGATTCATTCAAAATATTTAATTTCTCGTTTATATAAAATATTCGCACATTTGTTGGTTTTTTTATATTATTTTCTCTAAAATGTTAATAAAGTTACGAAATAATAAATTTACGAATAATAAATTATCATTCGATAATTACTTATAATTAATTTTTAATAACTAATTGTATAAAATTTGCAATTATTTTCTTGCCGAAAGAAAATACTTCCAGTATTTTTATCACAAAATAAGATATAAAGATATTTATATTTATTAATTATGTTTATATGTTTATTTATTAAATTGTACTTGAGGAGCAATAATTCCTCAATTTATAATCTTAAATTTGAAATATATTTGTTTATATATATGTATGTGTGTGGATTAAGATTCTGTTTAAAAAATATATTTTTAAGTATATCTATGAATAATATAAAATATTTTATAAGCATATTAGATTACTATTATATACGCAATGAGATGTAAAGGCACGCTATCGAGAAAATAATAATCCATTCATTACGATAAATAGCTGGAGATGCCGACTATCGAGATAAACGAGTAAATAAATCTCACAAGTATAAGGTGAATTAATTGTTTTAAATTACTCACCCTATTGTCTGGTTGCTCTGTCATCGGTTGTCCCTAGCTTCTCTCTCATTCCTTCTAGTTCTTGTTACTTTTCTCCATCATGTATAGCATTCCTAAAACACGCGAAAACACATTAATTATTACGCGCTAAGTACTAATCATTACGATACTATAATCGCGCATATTTTTCATAGCACTTTCAGCATTAATTGCATGCGACCTATATTTTACTATATCATATCAACTAAAGAATAATACAAGAAAAGAATTTGATTTATTTGAAATTATGGCAATTTATGATATTCGCGAACTAATGTAATAAATGACGGAGAGAATTCGAAAATAGCAGGGCAATTCGACTCTGCACGCCTCTCGTCAATCATGCTACACCTGTTGCTTACAAATAGTATACAATAGTATACAATTGTTTTAGGAAGATTACTATCTCATATTACATGAATGAGTAAATATATAAGTTAAAATTAAAGATACATCTAAATGCAATATCCGAAAATATAATCATTGTGCTTCGCCGACTGCTCACGCGATAGAAATCCATCAAATAAATCTGTAAATTACGCGTTCTAATTAATTATGTATAAATACTTTATTTATGCTACGCGATTGCCAAATAAAAATATAATATTAATTATTTACTTTATTAATTTCGGTAAATTCAATAAAAAGCCACCGTTAATCGTAGATTAACACCTTCCTCGTGTTCTAACGGATAATGTGACAATACATGAAGCGCTTCGCGTTGTGGCTTTATTGTCCGATGAGGATAAAGGTATAAGACGATCATAACAAGGACAAGAAGTACGCAAACATAACAAAAATAAAAAGGACACGTATCATGAACGCTGAGCGTTGTGTTTACCAACCGATATAATGAATATATATATATATATATATATATATATATATATATATATATTTTTTTTTTCATTGTCGATATTAAATATTTAGCATTCTATAAAATGTATATCGAATATTCTATTCCTTAAATATCAAGTAATTTCTATCTATGAATTATATTATTACACACACACATTACATTTAATATTTAATATTTATTTAAAATATTTATTTAAAAAATATAATTTACTTTCGTTTTGATCAAAAAAGATATTTATATATAATGTATAAATTTGTATAATATTTATTGTTATTATCACTTTTTCTAAATTTTTATAAAGGAAGTAAAATTATGTGATAAAATTTCAAATAAATTAGTAATTATAATAAAAATAAAAAATAGATTTTGTAATGGAATAAATCGGAAAATAGTGACAATTTAAAAAATATCATTTTCTTGATTTATAAAATTTATATAATTTTACTTCTCTTTGATCATAAAAAATTAATAATTAGTTAGATTCCACACATATACTATTCCGATTTGTTAAAAGACGATTAAAAGAGATAAATTTTATTTTAAAAATAAACTGCAAAATATTCTGTAATCCTTTTTAAATAGAATAATTAATAAATCATTCAAATTTTTATATTACTAGCTATGAAAGAATGAATGGAATCATTCTCACGTTGCATATTGACATTATGTAGTTACTGAGAAAAATAATGTTTTTTTAATTCTCTATTTTCCTATGCAGATAATTTATATTGGTTAAAAGAAAATTTTCTATGATTCAAATTGGCATTTAGCAATTTCGAAATCGCCAGATAAACAAACGAAATTGTACCATCATAAACTGATTTATTTTCCTACGTAAATATTTATCCTTTTTGGATTCTAATAATTCAAATAATATAACGTTTAAATTATATAAGAACCGTAAATATATATCGAAATATTTACAAATATTAAAATAATAAAATGATTTTAATCGCGTGTATTGTCTTTTGCATTTAATTTGAGGATAAAGTATAAAATAAGTATAAGCGAGTTTTTGTACACAATCAGAAGAAAAATACAAATTAATACAATAAAATAAAAAGAAAGGAAAATGAAATGATGCCTCGAGATACAACCGAAAAGGCCTTGCTATGTTTGTTTTTGAAAATTATCGAGACGTTGACATCGATGCGACTATAGTGATGCAAATGAGATTTTTTCTGACTCTTGTGGAAGTTTTATTTTCTTTTATAAAATATTTAAGAAAGAGAAACGTGTTTTTAAATATTATATAATATTCTCTTATAAATTATATTATATAATATTCTATAAGCAAAAAAATATGACAGTATGAATAAGATACATATGTATTCGTAAGATTAAGAAAATATTATTAGAAATGAGATGAAATATCATCTTGCGTTATTTATTGTATTTTCGAAATTTTTATATTAAAATTTTCAACACTTATTATAGTCAAAAATAAGCTATCAAAATTCAATTTGATGCATTTGTTGTATAAAACTTAAATATGTATATTACGTTGCTTAAAATACATGAATTGACAAATTCTTAATTTTTTAAACAAGAGCATTTAACTTTGAAATATTTTTCCAATTCGCATTTATCCGTTCTTTATAGAATTATTGTTATTAAGACGGCTAAGATTCTTGTCTCGCAAATTAACATAATAATATAAATTAATTATGTGTGTGTGTTTGGACAAATGCGTACATCTCAATTGTGAAATGTATCTTGATTTTCCAAGCATCCTGATTAAAAAGAGAAAAAAGAATTATTTTTAATGTAAATGCACGTTTATATAACGATTAAAGACATTTTTATAATATAATATCTATAATAAAGTAGATTTTACATGATTTTTCTTATTTTTTTCATTAATGACACGATATAATATAGTATTTCAGAATATAAAAGCGGAAAAGCTGGAGATAACAAAACCAGAAACGCACAAATTCGCTGCAAGAAGGCAGACAACCCTTTTCGCACAGTCAGAAAACCGGAGAGAGGGAAAGAATATCGCCGAGTCGGTCGAGAGGGTTGGCGTCCACCTTCACCTTTGTTTTTCTCGCGGATCTAACGAGGATTTACCGTTGCTACAACTACCCGCGTTCTCACCTCTACCATCGCGTAATATCGGTGTGAAAAATCTCTCGATGCCAGGAGAGGACGCGAAATCTCGGCAGAAGTCGCGAAGATAAGACAACGACGCTGTCTCCCGCAGGAACCAATTTAGGTACGCGCTCGGACAGATTTAAATCAAATCAGGCTTGCCGCTATATTTGCAAAAATTAATTTGCACGAGCCCTGCTTTCTTCGAGCCCTCCTCATAGAAAAATAGTATTGCAAAAATTCTAAAGTTTACTCTTAAATCGTTAACCGTCTCGTCTGCTAAATTTCCTCATTTAACAGTATTTCGCCGATTTCGGATACAATTGTAAGAATAAGAAACAAAGTTGGCTATTAGATCAAAATAAAATAAAAAGTTATATTTTTTACGAACGAGTTCGTAAAAATATATATCGTTTTTTTTTTTTTTTTTCAAAGTTTCGGCATAAGATCTAACAATGCAATGTCTATCAATTTCTATTTTTATCTATTTATTATCTTTATTTATCCTTTTACTTTTTATTTAATCATTTCGATAATAAGTTGCATCATTTTTTTCAGGCAGAAACAGTCAACATTCGAAAGAGAAATCTCTCGATTTATCGGTGCACTCATCCGCCTCTGAATCGCATCGACAAAATCTCGGCTGACTCGAAAGTCTGCGATGCGGGGGGAAACAAGTAGAAAAGATCGACGGCGATCGCGTCCTAGTACAGGACGACGAGGTGAAGGAAACCTTGATATATCCGCCAAACACAAGGAGCTCGAACACCTCGGAGGATTTATCGGGACTACGGATAATGGATGGCTTCCGCGTATAGTTCTCTCTCCTTCTCTCTACCAAGCACACCGCTTTTTTAAATAATTTAACATATAACGCTGAAAAATTTTTGGCCCTCTTCTCATATGTAAAACGATAATCGCGGCACCCAAATAAAATAGAAATAGATGAATATAATACAAATAACAGGAAAGACAGTTCTATTTTTTAAATAAAATCATAAACATAATAAATGATGTTGTTAATCTCGATTCAATAAATTTATAATGTTGTTAATCTCGATTCAAAAAATTAAATTTATCAGATTGCGATGATAAAAAGAAAAATTAATTATAAAACATATTAATTATAAAACAAATATTTAAAATTTTTCTTAAATTTCTTTAAAAAATTTAAGATAATAACTTGTTAAATATTAAGAAGCGAAAAAACAAAATATTTAAGAATCTTCTATTTCTCGTCAAAAATATAAAAAATTTATTAATATTTATTTATTAATACTAAAATATATCTTCACACATTATATATTTACTATATACTAACTATAAATATATTCTTATATATAAAAATATATAAGAATATATATATAATTAGTATGTAATAAATATATAATGCATAAAGATACGTTTTAATGATAAATATTTTAGTATTAATAAATAAATATTAATAAATTTTGAGTCAGAACTTGATCACAGTATATGTTTCTACGATCTGCTGTCAAATACTATATGTTAAAATCACTTGTAAAAAGATCAAGATTATTTCAAAAGTAAAAGTATCAGTAATACGTTACAAGACAAAATTCGAGGGATTTCAGCTAATCGAGTTTCAGGTGTAGCGCAGTGACGACAGCTTAACAGCCTTAACCCTCCTCCCCCTCTCAGAGCTTTGCAGAGTAAATTTACCTTTAGAAAGTAGATTTACACTAAGATTTAAGGAAGTAGAAAGGGACGGTTGCGGTATCGAGGCGGACGAACAGTGAGACAAAAACCGCGGAGGCAACCGTCTTCGGATTGGACGATTCTCCGCGGGAATGTATTTAATTCGATTGGCCTTTGCCGCCACCGCCGTCGGACTGAAACAAGGGAGAATGAGGGAGAACGGGTCGACGGGAGCGACTTTTATCGGGGATGAGAGAACCTCTGTTTCCGCCGGAAATGAGGCCCTCGCGCGCCTCCGCACCGACGACCTACTCTTCCTATCAACCTCTTTCCACTCCTATATCTTTCTCCCTTCCCTCTATCTTACTCTCCTTGTCCCTATCGCCCCTCATTCGCTGTCGTCGAGGACGAAAATCATATTTATATCCCATCTCTTGCACTCCCAGGTAAATATTACGGGCGAATGTACGCACCTGCCGCTACGAGCCATGACAAGCAAAATCCACGACGCCGAAAAATCGACGCTCTCGCTACGGTATTACTCTTGACATGTTCTAACTGTGCTTACGAAGTGTTTTTTACAATTGCAAATTTCGAGCATAACAACTAAAATTAAAAATTGAGCAGCAAAAATCATTTAGAAGTTATTCAGATTTATTTGTTACAAAAACACTTGGTCTTTTATCTTCCGTAATAAAATAAAAAAGTGTTTTCTGCTCAATTTTTAATTTTAATTGTTATGCTTTTATATATTTTAATATCTAATATTTTTAATATAATATCTCATCATAATATTTTTTATATATATGTATTTTATATACTTCTTTTGTCTTTTTCTAATAGTGATATGTGCAATGTAAAAATATACAATGATTTTTATTCTAAAGATTAAATTTAATAGTAATAATTAAATATCCATCACAAATATCGTAACACACATTCAAAACCAGAAGATATTATAGTATTTGAATAACTTTTAATGTAATATAAAAAATAACTTTTATTACGAAAAAATTTAATTCATAACTGTGCTAAAAAAAATTTCATTCATTACTGTGCTATTTTTAAATATTAATTCTAATCAATATACTATTTTCCCATATGTATGTACAATATAGTTAATAAAAATGTGAACAAAATTGACAATTTTTATATTTTGCAGTAATAATATATGTATCTTAGATAAAAAAGAAAGAGAGAAAGAGAAAATGCAACAAAAAGGATTGATACTTGTCGATTAAAATGTTTTGTTTTTCATCAAAACTAAATGTAATAATAAAATTGCAAATATTTTGCACATATATAAATGTTACTTAATTTCTTTTCTACATATATTTTTCTATCATCATTACTTTAATATCTAAAGAATTATAATCAATTTTCTATAGTTATATATAATTAATTCTAAAAGCTAATTTCGCGAAAGAATACTTCTGAAAATATTACTTCATCCGATTAACTTGCTCGCAAAGAAATCTATTTGTCATTTGTTTTTACAAACACTAAAAAAAATTACTTTGAACTTTGACATAAACTAATATAAAATCCATCTAGTGATCCGATCAATCGACCGGACCACCTACGGATTCCTTGTTAGATACTGTCTTCGAGTGCAGGCGTGATCTCGCCCTCGAGCCTCTTCCCACGTCTGACTATTCATAAGACTTTTAGAACAGGTGTGCAGATTGCTCACTCTTTCCCTCTTCCTCTCTTTTTGTTTTTATCCAGTGCACGAATCCCCGAATAAGGCGTCGGGATCTAAAGTCAGACGACAGAAAAGTAAGAATTGAGATGAAAGAAGCTTACCGTTGCTCTCTCTAGACAGATGTCGACTGGCTTTCCCTCTCCCAGCTCTCCTGTGCAAGAAGATGTAATTTTCGCTGTATGGCCAGATTAGAAGCCGGTTCGTCGGGACTACCTCTGGTTCCGTCTGCCTGATAAGTATTGCCTACCGTATATCAGCCTCCTGCTCAATGCCCTAGAACTGGAAAAGGGATTCGAGAGATGATCTCCGTACGATCGATCGGCCTCGCGATATGACGTCACGAACGACGATGCCCATTATATCTCGTTAAGGAGCTACGTATTCGCATCGGCATAGATTTGCAGAATTGCCTTAAGCGTAATAAAGATGTACATCAAACTATGTTAAATAAATGTCATTGCTATTAATATCTTAAAACGCGTCATATTATATAAACAGAATATAATACTTTATTTAAATTGACAAAGCACATTATAAGGAATAAATTATTAAAAGAATCAAGATTTTAATATGTAAAATACTTTCTTATATATAATTCATATAAAAATTTAACAAAAATCCTCCTCAAGTCGGTTCGTTTTAAATCAAAATTATCACACGAAGATGAACGTATAATGGAAGGAGGATACGATTCAGAAGTGAAGAGAGTATAGCTCTCACCTCACACTCCTTTCGTATTCACTTCCTTACAGAACGGGACGAAACTTTTACTAGGTGAAATCTCTGAAAGATCGGATAATCGGATTAATCAACGTTTACGGTTTAAAAAATTCTAATCATAAAAAAATACTCCAAAAAAATAATATCCAATATCAAAACGTGTTCTAACAATGTTTAAATATAATAAATGTTTTAAGTATCTCATATCTTTGCTTTATTTTAAATAAAAATATATATATATTGAATAGAAATATTAAATAAAAATTTAAATATTAACTAAAAAGTAATTTGATGTGATTTTGCAAATATTTTGAAATTTAACAAGAAGAATAATTGTATAAATATCAATATTGAATATTAAATTGAATTATTAAATTAAATATTCATTTTAATTAAATATTCATTAAAAATATAAATATATAATTTTCATTTTTTTAATAGTTAAAGATATTGTAAATAAATCATCACAAAGCATTTAATATATCTTTATTTATTATTATAAACTACAAGTTATATTAATATTAGTAGAAATTGAATGTGATGAACTTTAAATGATGAAATTAATTATATATTTATCGTCGATTAAATTTTTGTCTGATAAAAAAAATGATAATTCGATTATGCATGTGTTTTTTCTTTCGTATTTAAGTTTGCTTTCCTTTTTCTTATTACATTTGTTATATGAAAAAATAATTTTCTATAATATACAATTGAAAATTATATTTAACGTGAAATGCTGAAAAAGTTGACTTTGCGTAGCTGAATACATCCAATTAATGACCATATCTGTAAAGAGAAATGCAAAATTACCAACTATTTTAAGTATGTAATTATTTATTCTAAAGTGTGTTGTGTAACGCAAAAATTTGTCAGTATAAAGACATGTATATAGACTATATATCTATGTAAACTTTTAAGATGTTTATTTAGATACTATTTAAATCTATTATTTAAATAGGATTTAGAATTTATATATTTGTATATGTAAAATACTTGGTAAAATAAAATTTATATATTACATTTAAATTTTATTACAAAAATTACTTACTTCTGAAATTCCCATTCACGATTATCAAGTGGACAGACTTGTCGTGTTTTCAACCAACGTGAGATGCAATGGAAATGAAAGGCATGCTGAAAAAGAAAACTACAATTAGACAATTCAGAAGATTTATAGTACTAACATCGAAGTTATAATATTAACGTCAAACCTACGTTGCATACACCCCAGGCCACTGTACATTCTTCGCTTGTGGCAGATGCCTGGTTTGCTTGACATTCAATGCAGAGATCCATAATATGATTACGACATATAGCACAATTGTCCACAACGATATCTGAAAATCAATGAATTAGAAAACTCTTGTCTCTCTTATCTTGGAGATTATACAATACTAATGATTATAATCCTTACCCCAGGCCCATAATGCCACTGCATTCCACTGAAATAAATATAACCGTCATATTTAATTACATGACAAATAATAAATGCACATGCATACAGAAAAATAAAGAATGACAAAGCGTAAATAAGGTTAGGAATCATATTTGGATATCATGAAACGACATCGTAAGCATAATCTCGTATTCGTATAATTCATTGATGTATTTTCACTTACCTTTTTCACTTCGAAACGCTTTTTCTCGCCTTTTCCACTGCTGGAGGTTGGCAAATCACTCTCATCATCGTCGATTTCCATGGTTGTCGCCATATTTAAATTTTGGAGCATAGGCCGAATCGGTTATGTTGGACGTAGGATTCTTCGCGTATGCGCGGTAGGTACAATAGCACAAGCACATATATATGTATATACATGATATAAAGAAAATTCTAGCGAACTCTCTGACCATTTATATAAATGTTTTAATCACCTCATGATAAACAGTGGCAATAATAAAGCGGCTAAAAATATGTCATTAAAATAATACATTAAACTTGCATAGAAAATGTATCATTTTTGCATTATTACATGGCATATGTATATGCAAAAGTAAGAATAAAATGCTTATGATGTGAAAAATATATTCAACAATATTTAATTAAATGCCATCTAGCAAAAATTATTAGTTCACGTTTAAAAAAAAATTATATATATATAAATTATTATTAGTTCATATTTTGAAAAAAAAATTATATACATAAATTATTAATAAATAAGCTGATAAAATTATAATATTAATTGAAGAATAAAAAGGTTATCATTATCCCAATATGTATATACGTATATATTTCGTAGTTATATATACCAATATATGAGCAATTATCAACAAAGTGCCATAGATAAATTATCGAGTGTGATCTTTCAGAGATAATTGAGAAATATAACTATCATTATTCGCGTGATATTAAAATAATGTATATAAATCAAGCCAGATTCAGATATTAATGAAATTCAGGAAACAAATTTATTATATTAAAAAAGATTAGAATAATTATCAGTGAGACGATATAACACGTATATAAGAAAGTATTTTATTATACTCGAGGAAGTGTGTAATACTCTTTTATATTAAAATATTTAAGCAAATTTACTTACTTGCCCCTTAAATTATAGATTTATCGGCCATTTTTCCCTTGTTCGATCCGTCTCGTCGCGGAAAAACACTCGCTTATTCGAACATGAAAAAACATGACTAATTATGTTCACTCGCCTTAATTAATACGACATAACAATCGCCCGACACTTTATCCGACACGCCCGATACATATTTCTACGCGGAATCCACTTTTTCAAGGAAAAACGCAATAAAAATCGCGGAACTAATATTTCGATTGCAACCGACGCGGTGCGAAAGATGGCGACTGCGCATGCGCACTCGAATTAGACAATTACACAATGAGCGCGCATACATAATATTTAAAAATATTTCAACAGTTCATAATTTTACAACTTACAATTACCTTAATATTACGCTGATGGATCTATCGTTGAAATTTTTTCCACGGCACGGTTTTCTATACATGCTGCAAAAAATAAAGAAACTAATTAAGAGGAAATCTTTATTTTTTCAAAATTATGAGTTAGTAATTGTCGAGAAACGCATACCTGTAATATTGACATCCGGTGGAAGGCAGATGCAATAATCATTTTCATCGACGCGTCGCGTAAAGTACATGCGAAAAATTCTCCCCTCTCGTCTTTTAAAACTTTCCTTTGACTCAATACACGGTACGAAATATACGTGCCCGGACATTTCGCAAAAAACCGCGAACGCCGCGAAGATTGCTGCAACAACAAAGGGCGCGCATGCGCACGCAATTGGCTTGGCAGGTTGGTAGTACTGGCCGGCAGTAAAATGGCGTGGTCGTTTCGCTGGGAGAGTGAATACGGGCCAAGAACATGTTTATACGACGTCACTAGCGCGTCGGGCTTGACATGTAAATAATAAACGAGAGGTATAGTCGATTAAAAACTGGCGCGTGCCTGTTTGTCTTTGCCGAGTTGACTTTACTGAGTGTTCGATGATATTCCGGTGATACGTTTCTGACAGCATGTCCGCAATGGCCGATGAGTCCGCTCCGCTGCCGAAGAGGCGCCAATTGGTAAACAAAGAGCACGCGCGAATCTGGCGTCGGCGATGTCGACGTCGCAGCCTCGACGACGACGTCGCATCACGTCGACAACAATTCGAGAGCGATACGACTGATTTATTTCTCATCATACATGATCTTCTCATATATCTTACATGATCTCATTTACAGAGGGAAAGAACCAGAAAATTGTACACTGATGACTGGACCTTAGGGGACGAGGAAATTGAAGGACGCAGAACTTTCCAGCTCGACGAGAAAATCGAATGCGAGAGATATGACCTGAATAACTTCAGTGGCCTCTTTCGTGAGATGACTGGACCGGAGCTGAATCTTATGTATTTACAGAAATATGGTCTGCAGATACCATTACTGTTCAAGGAAAAGTCAGGATTGGGACTACGAGTACCCAGCTCCAATTTTTCTATCAACGATGTCAGAACTTGCGTTGGTAAGTTCTAGGTATGAAAAAAAATTGTTATACATGATAGATTAATAATTTATGCAATATATTATTTATACGATAGGTTCTAAGAGAATATTGGATGTTATGGATGTTAATACTCAAAAGAACGAAGATATGACAATGAAAGAATGGCAAAAGTATTATGAAGATTCTAACAAGGAGCGTCTATTGAATGTGATTTCCTTAGAATTCAGTCATACCAAGTTGGAGAATTATGTACAGTCACCTGCATTAGTGCGACAAGTCGATTGGGTAGATGTGGTATGGCCAAGACATTTAAAAGATGCTCAAGTGGAATCTACAAATCTTTTAGAAGACATGATGTATCCAAAAGTGCAAAAATATTGTTTAATGTCTGTGAAAGGTTGTTATACTGATTTTCATGTTGATTTTGGTGGTACAAGTGTATGGTATCACATTCTACGTGGTGGAAAAATATTTTGGCTGATTCCACCAACTGAGAAAAACTTATCTCTTTATCAAGAATGGGTGTTAAGTGGTAAACAGTCAGATGTATTTTTCGGTGATATGGTCGATAGATGTGGCAGGATAAGTCTAACAGCTGGTATGACGCTATTCATACCAACTGGTTGGATACACGCAGTATACACTCCTCAGGATTCTTTAGTTTTTGGTGGAAACTTTCTCCATAGTTTTGGCATAGAGAAGCAATTGAAAGTGGCACAAGTGGAAGAGCACACAAAAGTGCCACAGAAATTTCGGTATCCATTTTTCACAGAAATGTTATGGTAAGAATCATATATATAAAAAAAGAATCAACTTTACAAACACACACACATATATATATCTGTGTGTATATATACACACATACACACTCATTAAATGTGATATTATAAACATTATATATTTTACAGGTATGTCCTTGAAAGATATGTGCATGTGCTTTTGGGTAGAACTCATTTAGAAATATCCGAATCGCAACGACAACACTCAGTTCCACAACAGCCTCAGCACATACACGTCACGCCGTTTGAATTGCATGGTTTGAAAGCGATAGTTATGTATTTACATTCACTGCCGTCGACAAAGAAGAACGTCCCGGAATTGATACGCGATCCGGTCGCTCTCATTCACGATGTACGGTGTTTGGTAGAACAGCATAGGAATGATAATCCAGAAGCGGCCGTGACGGGCAATCCTGTATTACCGCCACCACCACCCTTGACTATTGCAGATAGGGTATCTAATTATCATTAATTATTAGATGTAATCGAAATAAACATATATTGTTTGACTTCTTTAATCTTTTTTTGTAGGAACGCATGAGAGTAACCAGAAAAGGTTTTGTAAAAATGCAGAGACATCACTCAGAGAAATCCGAGAGAGCGTTTCCACGCAGAAGACGTACTAGGTGCAAGAAGTGCGAAGCGTGCACTAGACAGGATTGTCGTGAATGCGTTTATTGCCAAGACATGGTGAAATTCGGGGGTAGCGGCCGTGCCAAACAAACGTGTTTAATGCGCCAGTGCCTGAGGCCCATGCTGCCCGTTACATCATCCTGTAAAGTCTGTCAGTTGGATGGTTGGAAACAACCTCCGGCACCATTAATGGGTATATATTTGCAATCAATTAAATATGTAATTTATAACAAGAAATAATATATTTCTAGAACAAATGTTTAAAATATAATTACAGGTAAACCTGTTCCGACAGCACCATCTAGCTTAATGGAATGTTCATTATGTTTTGACATCGTGCATCCAGAATGTATAGGTTTGGATTTAGAGGAAATAACGGTAAATGACGATTTGCCAAACAGTTGGGAGTGTCCTCAATGTTGTGAACGTGGTCGAAACTTGGATTATCGGCCACGTCAGCCGAAGAATCGGCAACGAAAATTATCAGTATCTAGTGCAGCTTCCTCGGCACCTACTACAGATTCCGAACGAGCTATGACACCGAGTAAACGGTTAAGGCCTGATCCCACAGAGGTAAATTAATTTTATAAAAATATATAAGGAGGCCTTGGATTAAAATATCTCATATTTGTAATACAATAACTTTTATACTTTTTCATATAATTAAATTTCAAGATCTCAATATCTCTTAAATTGCATCATATAGGGTGCTGCTGTATAAATTTTGTATTAATGTTGGTTTGTTTTCTTTAGGCATGGAACGATTCGCCTGGGGAACCAGCCGAAGGTGAACAAAGAATGTCTCAGCAGCGCATCCAACTGGCTATGCAGTTGATTGCTTCGAGTAGTAGACCTTTGGTAAGGCCACACGTAGTAGTCAGGCCGGCACCGGCACCACCACCTATCCAGGAAATGGATAGTGAACCAACCAACCAACAGAATTCAGTGTTCAACAAAACAGCGATGATTGCGGTATTTCGATTGCTTGGCATAAAGGATCTGCTTAATTGTGCCTTGGTCTGCCGTACTTGGGCGAGATATAGTATAGATCCTGATCTATGGAAGAAGATCAACATGTCACACTATAATCTAAGATCCATACACTTGACCGCCATTATCCGACGACAACCAGAAAGCCTCTCGCTTGATTGGACCAACATCAATAAGATGCAATTAGCTTGGCTATTGAGTAGGCTACCGCAATTACGAACATTATCCCTTCAAGGTTGCACTTGGGCCGGTATTCGAGCTTTGAAAAGCTGCAGCTGTCCACCTTTAGAAACACTTAACCTGAGTTACGTTACTTCTTTGAATGATGCTGTTCTGCAAGAAGTTTTAGATTCACCGACAGATTCAAGACCTGGTCTCATCGATAAGACATCGCGATTAAAACATCTCAAAAATCTGTCTTTGGCTGGATGTGATCTCACCGATCGAGGAGTGAAATACATAATTCAACATTTGTCAGATCTCGAGACTTTGGATCTTTCTTCAATCGGTAGACTCACTGATTCCGGCGTAGCGCAATTGACATTGTTGCCAAACTTAGCATCGTTAAACCTGGCAAACTGCAAATTACTCACGGAAATGACTCTCGATCACTTGGCGAGATGTAAGGCACTTAAACGCCTGGATTTGCGACATACTACTCAAGTATCGACGCAAGCCGTCATCAAATTCGCCGCTAAGAGTGAACATAATTTGCATGTGACGGACGTTAAATTGGTGGAAGAGAAAAAGATCAAAACCGAGTTTACAGATACGTGAAAGAACGCAGCGCTCACAAACAAACTGTTGTTTAGTGCAATCTGGTTATCGTCGCGTAGAGATATCGTTTGAAAATTTAAAGCCATAATAGTACATCATGCTACAATCAGCGATTATTTATTTTACATAAAGAAATCTGTAAGTATCATGCGTGTTACAATAGATATATAAAAGACCTGATACAGAATTTTATTTGAATAACACAGTTTTATTTTGCTGAGATCAAATAAATGCAAGAACAAATTCTTCGTGACTTAAACTTCTTTTTAATATTCATTTCTATTACAAACATAATAATTATTAAATAAATTAATTATAATGTTTATAGTAGAAATGAAAACTAAAAAGTAAAAAAATAAAATGTAATAAAATAAAAAGTTATTTTCAAATATTATATTTAAAATAATTCATTTTTGTTATATATATTTTTCACTTTGATTCAATCTTAGTCAAATATCAAAAATCTTAAAAATTAAGATAACATAAAAAATCATCCATTTCTCTAATCATACATATCCTTTTTATCTAAATATTAGATAGAAGAGAGAAATCAATATCTTATTATTTTATTTCTTCCTTTTCTTTTCTCGATTTTGTATAGAATTAGATCACAGAAATAAGTTTTATTTATCAAAAATCTGATAAAATATATGGAAGTAAATAGGATATGGAAACTCATTCAAATCATTGTTTGTCAGAAACAGTATTTTTTGCATAAAAAGCATTGCGGAAATGAGAGATACTTGGATAATAATAATTATCTACCTGATATAAGTCTCCGAATATGTATCTCGTGCAAGAAAGTATCGCAAAAACAAGAAAACTAATTACAATAATTGCAATCACACTCAGAGACACATTTATTTATGGACGCGCACCAAATATACATACATGTATATGTGACTGTATAGTCAACTGTATTGTTTCGTAACGTTAGATGATCTCTACGTGTCGAAAACATCTATGTTCCGAATTTTAATTTTCGACCTAAGCTACATTTCGTAGACGACGTCAGATGTTCTGCGCAAATCGATGTACATACATACATATATACCTGCTTTTTATATAAAAATGCATGTTTGACCTATCTTTTTTCTTTGTTCTTTCTTCATTGACCTCGTGCAAGGATCATACGATTTTATGTAAAAATAACAAAAACAATAAGCGAACTAGATGCCAATTCAAATATTACAATGTATCCTACGAGATTGTTCATTCTTATTATTATGTTTCATGTTTGTATTATAATATTTCAAAAAATGGTGATGGTTGGAAACACCATTTTTAACTATTTTAGTCAAGATATATTACCGCAATTGAAAAAGTGTTTTTTTTTCCCATAATTCAAGTGTCAGTGGAATTTACAGTTGCCACTCTCTGTAACACATTGTATAATACATGTAATCCACAAAAGCAATAGTTATCTGATTCTCAAATATAATTTTGATTTGTAAAAGACGATTAATTTTATTATATCATTCAATTTCTATAAATCCTGTTCCTCGCAATCATATTGAATTATGTTAGAGACGAAAGCATACATTTTTTATGAAATATAACATTATTTTGTTAGTAGAAAATCTTTCATTTTATTAGTAGAAAGAAAATTATTCATTTAAATCTTACGTACTTTCCCGCGTCATAATCAACATAAAGCAGCCAATGACTGCATTCAACAGAAAAAGCTGTTTTACAACTATTAAATTCGTGAATCTGATTGGTGTATGCTCTTAGATTCAGTCAAAATTAAGAGCATACACCAATCAGGCTCACGAATTTTACACAGTTGCAAAGCAGCTTTTCTGCTGAACGCAGTCAATTCCGGAGTCGTAAACGCGAAACGAATCGATTCTTAATCGCAATGCACTTAATTAGTAGGTAAACCATAATTATAGTTTATAATCATATTATAGTTTAATAATTTTCAATTGCGTAATATATAAAACCGGTGTTTGGATGACGTATCATTGTTCATTGCCATATTGTTATCGATGCAGTGACTTGACAAATAGACATGACGCACTTCATGCATTAATTTTCGAGACGTGATCGCGAGAAATAATATATAATTATAAGATTACTTTGATAAATGATTACTGAATATTCGCATTATTTAACACAATTATTTACATGTAAGATTTAAGTATGTCGAACTAATTTTTATGGAGATATATATTTCGCGCGCTTTATTCGCGTGAAGTAGGCATCGATAATGTAATGACTGCTAACGTCATTCCGGAATCAGTAACGAAACGTCGCGAAAGGAGGATGGACTGATTCTGAAATAAATCGATTCGCGACGCGTAAAATTGGTAAATAAACCATTATCCAGTATCATATTTTTATCATTTGAGACTGTGTTGTTAGCGCGCGTGCAAACTTAGCTTTTAAATCACGATGTTAGTTTCTAATATCATAATGAACGATCGTAAGTATCGAGTTTGACGAGCTTTTCCCGCATTATTTTCTCGTCGTAATCAAGTGCGCGTTAAAATCGTCAATGCCATGCAAAATGTAGCGTGCTCAGTAACTATGTTCATGCGTGATTAATGTGTACATAATCATAATTAATTGTTGCAAGTGCTCGTAATTATATGAGTTATTTTCGCGAATGTGTGCCACGAAGGAACAGCGATGAAAGGAGGTGGAGGAGGCCTGGGGCGGTATTAAACGGCAAAGCAACTAGGAGGTGAATAATTTATATACTATTACTTGTGAAAAATTCAATAAAGGAAAAATTTTTATGCGAACAATAATTATTTTTTGAGATATTAAATATAGTTTGGATATTTTTGTTTTAATTTAAATTAAATAAATATATTTGTATATTTTTTACAGAGATCAACTTGAGCACTACGTTATATAATCTACATTGCACCGGTGAGTTTAAATTGTTTTTTATTTTAATTATAAAATAATGGATTTGAGAAAATTATTAGATGTGTATAAAATGTATTTATAAGAGAACAAATACTAGAAACAAGTCAAATAATTTAAAGTATTTTTGGTCAGTTATTAATATATAAAAGTTTGCATTTAAATTTGCAATAATAACAAATGCAATGATAAATTCTTATTTATTATTTCTATAAATTATTTCATATTGAAGACTTTATTTATATTTTAAAATAATGTTAAAAAATAATAAAAATTATATTTAAAAGTAATATAAATTTCAATTAAGAATATAGAAATATTATTGATATATACACTTCACAAATCCATTGTATCTTAAAAAGAGCAGATTAGGACAAACTAGGTCGAATATTTAATCCTGGAATATATGTAACTTATCAATATGATAAGTACCTAGATGTACACACAGAAATAATTCATAAATTGGACATTATTTTTATTTATATATTATTGACTAGAGAGTATTTGATTATTCCATAGAAAATATTTTAACACAGCTTGAATATGATTAATATAAAATTATGACAGTTATAATAAAATAATTTTTGCTAGGAAATGAAATTGATTTTACATGTGCACAAAAATTTGAAAAAATAAATATAATAAATTTTATATTCGATTTTCTATCAATCTCTCACTCTATATTCAAATTTTCAAGAAATATAAGAAAAACACTATAAAGGTATAATATACTAATAATATTATCCTAATAAATTTTTTCAAATATATATAATTATTTAAATATGCATAGTTATTTAAAAATACATTATTCAACATTATTAAAAATACTTTAACATTATAATTAATTAATATTTCGAATTTATTGCTGAAATAAATTATGAAAAATAAAAGAAAAAGGAAAGAAGTAAAATACAAGAAAGAATTAAAATACAAGATTGATATTTTTAGGTAATAAAGATATTTATTTTAATTATTTAGTATTATTTCTGATCTTATAAAGTTTGAAACAAGAGATTTATATATTATATTAAATACAATAAAAATAAATTATAAATAAATATTTATCGAATACTATAAGCAAAAATGTTGATATATTTAGCTATGTTATTTTATTTTTATTTTCCCTCATTTCTGCTTTCAAATATTTCTTCAATAATATTGGAAATCTGTATTTTGGCTTCCTTATTTCCTTTATTTTTCCAGGATTAAATATTATATAAATACAAAAAAGAACAATATATACTAAAAAAATTTCCTGTCCATGTATCACAAATAACAGGAAATATCTCACAATTAGAGCATATTCCAGATAATGATGATATGTGATAATTATTATTAATTGTTTTGTATTTTATAATGCACCAGTTTTGTTCTAATTTTTCATAATCTGACCATTCATGTTTATTGATAATTGATTGCATTAATTGTCCCACATAATATGATGCTTTAAAAACAAAATTTTAACTTAGATTTTTTGATTAAAAAAAATAATATTTTGTGTTAAATTCTGCGTCAGTTTTCTTCAATTTTTCATTTGCATTATGTAGATGTATTTAAAATATCTTAAATATTTTTATTATAGATTTAATCTCTTAATAAATATAACATTATTTATAATAATGAAAACATTGTCTCTCTCCATTCTATCTCTAGAATTAATTTAGAAATATAAAATATTATTTTAATCAGAAATTCTATTATTACTTATAATTAGTTAAAATTAAGAAATGTAATGAAAGCATCTAATATTTTAAATAAATAATTGAAGTTTTTATAGAGAATACATGTGGTAAAGAAAAAAATAAAAAATATATTAATAATAAGTTAAAAATGATATCTAATAATGTCTTGCAATTATTTGAATATCTATTTAAATTTATCCAATATGGATAAAATTTATTCTGAAATGAAAAAAACATCTAATATATCTCTTATATATGATCTTAAATTAATTCGCATAATTTGTATAATCCGCGATATCTTGCACTTTGCAAAAATAATAGTTTTTCTTTTTCTATATATTATTTAGTTATGATTGTATGCGCGATTTTATATTAAATATATCTATGTAAAAAAATGGAGCATATGTTAAATGTCGCGAGAAATAAATAAATATTTTGCGGATTAACATTCCATGATTGAATGATCAATATTCGATATTTTGCGATGATTTGCAGAGATGTCCATTACAAGTCGCAAAATAGAATTACATTTGTGGTGTTGTATGCACCCATATATATTAATACATCCACTCTCTCGTTATAATACAATTATTGAAGGAATTAACAGTTTGAATAATTAATATCTTTAAAAGCGCGATGATCCTATTCCAGGAAAAACTTTGTACAGTCTTTAAATTATCAGTCTTTGTCAGATAAAGTTTTCAGCCTATATTTTGCATTTAACATTCAACATGATATTGAGATTATACATGTAATTATATGTAATATATAGTAACGTGTTTACACGATACGTGAAGAATAAATTTATAATAAAATTTATGAAAAAATTGTTATGAACGAAATTATTTTGAACTGAAAAAATCACGTTTATTTAGCATTATTTTAATACAGGCTTTTGTTGAATTTTACGGAATTAAAGGCTGTCATCAAAGCTTTATGTAATAGGATAGTATATTTTGCGACAAAATTGGTAGACATCTCTGCACTGGGTATATCGCTATTTCCTGTGGAAGTTTTTCGAGTGGAATATATGTGTGTGTGTATGTATGTAATTATCTTTTCTCTCGTAACATTTATCTATATTTCAATACGTAATATTTATATAAAGTGTGTACACAATCTCTGTATTTTTGGAAATTATTATCCGCTCACTCTACAATTAATTTAACCTAATTCTGCTAAGACCGAATCAAGATCCTCTTGCAGGCTGATGCTATCCTCTCGCTGCTTTACAAGATTGTCCTTAATTCTGTCTACTTGTGCCTTAAGCAGATAGTTCCCTTTTTTCAAAGCTGCCAATCGTCCCTCGTGCTTTTTAACGTATTTCTAAAAGGATAAATGTTTAGGAATACAATTCAAACTTACACTTAACTGCAATGATCTTTGCAATGACAACTCACTTGCAGAATGTTTTTACGCTTATCAATAGGTGCCTCTTCGTCGTCAGATTCAGATTCCTCTTCCTCTGATTCCTCAGATTCTGATTCTTCTTCAGATTCCGTCTCTTCTTCCTCTTCATCCTCTTTTTCTTCTTCTTCTTCCTCTTCCTCCTCATCATTTTCTGCCATTAGCTTCGCCATCTTATCAACTTGCTTCTGCAATTCCTTATATTTTTTCTTTTCTTCCTTCAGTAATTTTTGCTGTTGTTTTATTTGCTCCTTCAACGCGTGCCTTTCTTTCCTGGCGTTTACAGCTTTGTCCCTATATTTAGAATTTTTATTATATAATTTTTATTATATATTTTTTATATTATATTTATGTTTCTTTTTTATTATTTGCATTATTGATCTTATTATTTTTTATATTGTTGCTTTGCATTATTGTTCAAATTGATTTGAATATATTTGAATATATAATATTGCACTTCATTATCGCACTTACTTAAAATTCTTAATTTTCGTGATAAGAAGCTTGATTTCTCTCTGAGCGCGTTTCTCTGCCGCAGCTTTAGGATTCTCGTCTTCCTCTTCTTCCTCTGTACTTTCTTCTTCCTCTTCGCTCGTGCTATCAACATCCTGTTTGTCTACACTTTTTTGCGATGCGATTTTAGCTACATCCTTTGCACTTGGACAACCAGCCAGTGCGATTCCTGTAACATTGTACCAGCCTACGTCTTCCCAATCCTCTACTAACTCTATTATTGGGTCAGCTTCAATTGACGCAGATTCTTCTTCACAGGCAAAGCAAAAAAAAATCAAAACAAAGAAGCGCAGTTTTAGTATAAGCATTAAAAGCGTATAATATAATAATAATATAATATATTATATAATATAATAATATAATAATTATTATAATAATATAATATAATTATATATATATATATATATATATATATATATATTATATAATTATAACATAATTATAATAATATAATTATTATAATAATTAATATAATAATATAATATATTATAAGCATAAAATATATTTTGCATATATTAATAATAGCATTAATAATAAGGCATCTTACTTATATATGTACATAAACATATAGATTAAATTGGAACCGATTAGGGAAAGCTGAGCTAAAAACGCGATTAATTCAGAAATTGTTAGCTTTTAATAAAATAATTTTAGTTATTTTACAAACAATATTAATTACGCACCAGCTTTCATGCGCTTTTCCAATACCGCATACATTCTTTTCATTTCTTCCAATTCATTTTTAGCCTTATCTCTTTCCTCAGCAGCGCTAGCATATTCCTTTTCCGCTTTTTCTGCATCCTTCCTCGCTTGTTGCACTTCCTGTTTCAGAGATTCTGCGAGTTTCTCATCCTGTTGTTTGTTTTCCTGAGCATTCTTTTGAAGCTTCATATGTTCTACTTCTGCCTCAAGATTCAAAATTCTTGCCTATCCATAAAATCATTTTATAAAAAGTGACAGTAGTGTTCACTATTTTTTAAGAGACCAAGATTCCTCAAATATAAAAATCTAATCCTGCTAAAATTACTAATAATCTTAAGCCAATGTCTTGGGGTCTGTTCAATTTATTACCTGTAATCGCTTGTTGTCTCGTTCCACGGCTTCTTTGTTTCTCAGCTCCAACGCGAGCATCTGTTTAGTGCTTTGCAAATCATCTCTGACGGCATCTATATCATCCATTTCATCCTGAATTGCGACATCTACGGGTGCTTCCTCGGCTTTCTGTATTTGCTCTTCTATAGTTAATTGTCGTCGGAATTTTCTTAGTCCTTCCAGCATTGGTTTCGAGCGATCGTTAGTCCTGACAGTCTTAAGTTTCACGCCCTGCTGAATCTGCTTTAGTAGCTGATTGTGCATATTCGATTTTTCAGACTCGAACACAAAGTGAGCTTTGCCTGAACGGAAAGAAATAATCGATTAGAACGAAATATAAGATATATTGCCATTTCATTATATTGCTTTAACAAAATATATAAAATGTATTCCGGATCTAAACGTTTTAGCAATATAATAAAAATATAACTCTCTCTCTCTCTTTATTTCTAAATCAAAATATAATTAATAATAAATAAATTCAATTCAATCATTAAATTCAATAATTAATAAATTCAATAATTAATGAATTCAATAATTAATAAATTCAATAATTAATAAATTCAATAATTAATAATAAATTCAAGGAAGATGAATTTACGTTTCAAAGTTGTAAATAAATTAGAAGATCGCATTTCTTAATTAAATTCAACTTGTCTTTAAACTAGTATTTAATTTAAATTTTAACATTTAAAATTTTTGCTAGAGATTGAAAAATAACTGATAACAATTTTTGCCTCGTTTGTCTGAAAATTAATTTGTAGTTAAAGAATAATGATAGAGCCAGACAACACTTTTTTCAGCCTGACGATTGCATTATATAGAATTTCATAATGATCTTATTCGTTAATTGATAATACTTAACGCTTCACATCGGCGTTCACATATTTTTAAAGTCATGACGGATCACCCTCCATCGAATAACGTTCTCGTTTCCCATCGAGAATGTCCACTCGAAGACTGAAAGATCCTAATCGCCGGTCGTTCGCGCGACAGGAAAGAAAAAGGGATGTCAATAAACTCAAACACGAAGATACCAATTAATTCAACGATAATCAATTAACAATTTAATTAGTCTAATATTTTAATAATGGATAAATGGGCTCACACCTATTGAAAGGGAATGATTCAAACGATAGGAAGAGAGAAAAATATGATAACGACAGAACAAAATTGCTAACTCTTTGCACAAATAGGATCCGATAAGCGTTAATCGAAACCTCCGCTCGTTATTTAATCGATTATACTACATTCATACTTCCCTTCAATCGTTTGTCGATCAAGAAAGCGAAAGTAGAAAAAGTTTTTTGGAATACATTTTTTCTCTGGCTTCTCTCCTCAAAGAAAATAAATATTCCTCTTACAGAAGAGACAGATTTGGCCCGATGGGCATCCAGAAATCAAAAAGGATTCGTCAATTACCTGCTGAATCGGCCGTGACCTTGTTCACCCTTTCAATCAGAGGCGCACTTCGATCGTTACACTTAACATGTCTGAGTTTCTTGCCATGCTCGACCTCTTTCATCATGCAGGCCCAATCCGGCCGTTTTCTTGGCCTGGATTTCAGTGCATCTAGCTTCTCCATTTGTGTTTCGTTGAGTGGAGGAAGATCCTTGAGGATTGTCGTTCTGCTAGGCGGTGGTGGAGGCGGTCGCGGAGGTGGCGGTGGTGGCACGTTCGCTCGCGACGAACTCTTTGATAAAGTTGGTGCGCCTTGATATAGAAAATTCTCATTATTTATGCAAAAAATATAATATTTTTTAATTCATTTATGTTTTAAAAATATCAATCTTTGTTTAGTGTAAATAACTTTTAGAATGAATTTTTTATCCTTTTCATTAATAATTTATATTTTAAATTTTTTAAATTCTGTTTATATATAAATTAATAAAAAATAATAGTTAATATAGAAAAATTTTTATTGATATATTGATTAAATATAGAAAAATTTTATATTTAATAATCTATCTCTATCGATTTAATCTCGTCACACATAAAAAAATTCATTTTTCTTACCAAAAACAGATAGATGAACATTTGATGTGAAATTAACAATTTTAATCTTATGCATTCATTAAGAATTAAATTTAAAATTTATTACCAACATTTAATTAATTTTTATAGAAACAAACTTTATATTTTATAACTTTATTTATAAAATATAAAGATTATTTTAAGGAAAATTTAAATATTATTAAAATTTCTTAAAAGTTTAATTTTACCACGGAAAGAAAATAATTTTTATTTCAGTTTGTAAAACTAAAAACATCAAAAAATTTAAAGACGTTTAAAATTTGAAAAATTTAATATCGTGGATACGAAAAGAAATGGCGATCATCGCCGTACATACCTGTAGTGCTCTCACTTTTTGAGAGTGGTATAGTGTCACCTCGTGATCGAGATCTGTCGATGTGTATCTGTCGTTCGAGCTGTGGCCTCGAATTTGGCTCCTGCCGTCCATTCTCGCGTAACTTCGCCAGCACCGGTCGACTGCTCGGAATCTTCTCATTGTTCGGCTGTTTTGGTATTATTGTGATTTTGCTCTGTTTACGCGGTTGTTCATGTTCTGTCGAAGGTGTTGCCGACTCTGCAGGTTTCGGCACACTCTATTCAATCGAAAGAAAGAAACATTTATTTGATTATAATATTAAAATAACATGTAAATAAGAACACGTTTATTTTAATTTATTTATAATACATACAACATATTATAACACATATACATACACATATAATATGACATTAAAAGATATATTTACTAATTTTTAAAAAAATTATTGGAGAGAAAAATATAATAAATATGATTGTATTTATTAATTTAAATATTAAACAATTAATTTATTTATTAATTGATGTTAACTATTGATAGTTTTATTTTTTGAACTTTTATGAAAAACTATTTACTAAAAGAGAAGGAGAGAAAGTTTTTGGATCAATACATATTACATAACAACAATGTGTGTGTGTGTGTGTGTGTGTGTGTGTGTGTGTGTGTGTGTGTGTGTGTGTGTGTGTGTGTGTGTCAAAATATTTATAATAAAATAGACAAAAATTTGAATTTAGTTTTTATTCAGATTTACTAAGTTAATAATTTTGGAAAACATTTATTTTAATTAACTCCACATTAGTTATATAATTTAATTATAATTATATAATTAGTTTTGTTTAATTATTTAATTCAGATATTAAACACTATTATATAGTTTTCACTTTATTAGCAAATTAACTGATCGAATTTCGTCGTATAACGAAACAAATTTTGTTGGCACTATCATTTATTTTCGATTCCTAGTTTACGTTTTCGTGACACTCTTGCAACGTAAATCAATATCTCGTGCGTATGTAAAATATATATTTTTTTTATACGATCGTGCCAGATTTCGAAAAGAATACGAAGAATAATTGTCGCACATCTCGCGAGAAAGATAGCTACGATAGAGAATAGGAAGAGGAAATATTTCTCTATCCCTTTTCTCTTTCAGTCGTTCAAGAAGACGGGATAAAAAGAAAGAGAAAGAAAGAGATCCGAAAACTTTTCTTGGCAAGTCTCGAAGAATTCATTCCGCTGGCTTTAAATAATCTACATTGAATTTTACACACGAAATGTCATTCTTCAACTTAAATCGTTGTTGCGGAGTTTTTTTTTTCTTCCCAAATGGACTCTCGTAGAATCATTCAATTTTCATACTCGAAAAATTTTCGAAAAAGATTTTTATTTCTATAAAAATTGTTCGCTCAGAAATTCTTTTTTTTTTTCTAAAATTGTTTTCGATATATTTGCAATGCGGTATTAATGATTTTCAAATAAATTAATATGAGATTGCGATATAAACGTGTTAAGAAACTGGCGGAAGACGCAGCTGGCAAGTCATTTGAAATAGAAACGCGTGTTCTTTAAATAATCGTGACCCAGAGGCTTATATGTAAGCACGCATACAACGAATCTCACTTTCCTTCGCATTAAGAAAATGGAATTGTAATTGACACACGCACATCTTTGACATGTATGAATATTCACAAAGGGTTGTAAATCGCTTGAATGTTTTACAATTTTCTCAAAACTGATTTTTAAATCGTTAATTATTCTGTAATTATGCATATTATCTATACCGAAGACTTATCATTCTGATTAATTATCAAATATCAGACATAAAAAAACATGCATTTTAAAAATTAATACGCAATTATAAAATTTCAACATAATATGCTTAGATATTATATAATTGGAAAAATATATGATAATAATACATAAAAGTAATAAGTAGTTTAATAATTAGAAAAAGATAAAATTTTTGAAATAAAAATTTACATTTTGAATTTAATTTGTTTAATTGATGATTTAATACGATTCAATATACGACAATATCGCGATATTAACATCTTTATATGCCATTGCGATTTCTCCATCATGTCGCGTTTTTTTCACGTTATCTCATATTATTTATATATTAGCTTTATAACTTTGTATATTTTCATAATTTTTTATGGACCATCGCCAAAAAATGAAAAGTAATCGCTTGAGAATTTTCTCACATATAAGTCACAGAAAAATAACACATATATAGGAATAATTTCAATCAATAATCTCAATCAATAAATATTAATCTGTCGTGAATACTTCTTTTATAAATTTAATTTCATATTGTAATGTCGATGCATTTGCGTGTTTTCATTATCTATAATTTGTATCAATAATTTAAAAATTCAAACAATTTTTCAGTGATTTATAATATAATTTTCATGACAGAATAAATTAAGGAAGTTATTTTTTATTCGAATAATCGCTTTTATATAAAAAAATTTGTCCTAAAAAGATAAATTTTTTATAAATCGGTTAGACTATCTTGAAGTGCATTGTTTGGATACAACGGATTGTACACCATCAGAAATGTTTATTATGTTAACTCGTTGCAAGATATCTACATCAGCTATTAATATCACGGTAACGTTAGCGAAGTCCGCTGACTTTGAAACCCAATAGCTGAATGGAAAAAGACTGCAAAAGTCACATAGTACGGGCTACTCATGCGTGCTTTCGGCAGAAACAGAAGCGGATTGTATTACCTGATTTCAACGCGAAGAAAAGCTGCGATATGTGTTTAAATAAACTCGTTCTTCTCTTTAAACAAATGGCGTAAACCCGAAATTGATTTTGACATTTTCTAACAATTTTGAAATTTACTTTGTGTTGAAGGTTTCTTTTTTTTTAGTAATTTAAATATTATCATGTATAATATTATAATATTCTTGATTACTAACATTAAAATATAATTTTTAATGATTATTAAAATAATGAATTATTTAATAAATTCTCTATTATAAAATGTGATATATTTTTATAAATGTAGAAAGAAAGAGAAAAAGAGGATAGTTGAAAGAATTATGAAAAATACGCAATGATATTTTATAACAAAATCTCTCTCTCTCTTTCTCTCTCTTTCTCTTGTTTGCAAATTCTTTAAATAAATTATGCAATTCACTTCTTGCGTCTTTGCGAAACATTACAAGATATTTATTTATTTTTCAGACAATTTGCTCATTTTTTCACACATCTCAATCTTTGCACAATTTTTTTTACAAAAACCAGGAAAAGCTTATTTCGCAAATTCGCAAAAATATAGAATCATCTTTAAAAAGTTGCCAAAATGATTTTATAAGAAACTATTAAACTCTTATATCGCTTCAGAAAATAAAAGAAAAAGTCTTTCATTTTTAGAGCAACGCGTCTCAAAATTATCTCATGAAAATAATATCGATTTTCTCGGAAAATTGTTCACTTACCTTCAAGGTAACTTGGGTGAAGGCTGGAACTTCGTCGGTCTTAGGCTTGGAATCTCTGCGGGAATTGAGGGTCCAAGGCGCGGTAGGCATGGGCAACGGGGTAGGACCATCCTTGACCCACGGTGGTCGGAAAGTGGTCCTTTGCGATGGCTGACCACCGGCGCCAGGCATCTTTGCTTAGCAGTCCTCTTTTGCTTTCTTTCGGGAAAAAGGGTAAAATCCTGCTTTTACTCCAATCTTCGAAGACGTTCTCGCGTTCGCTCGTCGCGTTAACTGACGATTCGTCGCGGGACGAGCGCGACAATCCTCCCGAGGACGTGCGCGATACGCCACTGACAGATTCCTGGACCGACCGCGATAAGTGGGGATCAAAACGTGAGCGAGATCTGTATGCGACCCACTTTTCTTTCGTGAAAACGTCGTTTCGGGATAATAATTCCAAAAATATGAAATTTACGACGGAAGGAGAAGATCCTTGAAAAAGATCCTTTCAAAAAGAAAGCGCACGATCGTCGAGATATGTTCCTTTTTTTTTTTCTTTCTCTCTTCTTTCAACGAGAGAAGTAACTATGAACCACAACGGGGTCGAAGATTTTTGCGCGACTCTGGGAAAGCTCGAGAGCTGTACCGCGCAACAGGCAGATCTTGCGGACCGCACCTCCCTAACCATATGATATTTCTGTCCATGTGACGTCATCGAGAGACGCGAGGCTCAAAATAGAAGGATCTTCTCCTCTCCTCTCTAGGATACTCTCGACAACGTCTTTGCTACTTCTTGTCGTCCTACAACGCATTCCGCATCTGTTTACGATGCACCGATCGTGACCGACCACGAAGGTCGATCGATCTTCAGGGTCGGTAAGACTTTTATATATATATATATATATATATATATATATATATATATATATTGCTTCTCAATTTCTAGAGTAAATATCTATCCTTTGGATAGGTAAACATTTTAATGGTGGAAAGACAATTTCTGATACATATTTTGATATTGCAAAATGCAGGAAAATAAAAAAAATTATATTATTATATTATTATTAAACGTGCAGTTAATATAAATAAAATAATAGTAATTTTTGCGGGGCTATATTTATTTGTGATAACATTTATATATTAATATTATGTTATCTTGGATTCTCTAGAAGAAAGTATTGTATATTTTCATTTCATTTGATTTAGATAAATATGAACAGATTTTGTTTCGAAGCTCAAAAGATCGTCAATGTGATATTACAATGAAAATATAACAAAATTAATTTAAGTTATTAAAAATATATAAATGTTATTATTAAAAAGAATCTACAATATAACATTTCTCTTAGCTTCCTCTTTTATTGCATATATCAATTTTTAGTTTATTTTGCATATTTTTTAACGCTTTATGATTGCATCTTTTTTTAGTGATATCGCAGAAGATTACTTTGTTGAAAGACTGAATATAATCATGAGAGGCGCGACAAAATTTCTCATCTTAAAAAAGAATGGAATAGAATGAAGAAAGTAGCTTTATAAAAAAGCACAAATATAATATTTTCAAAAAAAAAGATCTGAACAGTTATAAAACGCGAACAAAGAAGTTTTAGGTGAAAAAATAATATGACATACTTAAACAATATTCAGTATAAAGAATTCATTGAAATTTAAATATTTATGACATTGCATTAGAAAATATTTATGCTACTTTTTGGAAAAGAATTTATAAGATATGTTCAATTTAAAGATTTTAGAATAAAAGTTGCGATCTCCTTAATATAATAGTTTAAAGACTATTTTGAAATTGTGGCAAAAAGGAAAGATTATAATACTTTTTAAAATAATATTTTCCTATTTTTTCGAGTTTTTTATAAAGTTTATTTAAGTCAAAGTCATTTTTAATAAACAGATATTTTTCTCCAATTTAATAAATAAAGCTCTGTGTGTGTATGTTTACATTTCTTAAGATCTTCATATAATTATTAATATTGAGATTAACATGACGGGTAAATTTTTTTCCAATGATGTAATGCTTTATAAAGTAATTTAAGATTTTTACAGTTGATTATGTAATAAATTATCCAAGATGTGTGTGACATATTACTCTGGAAATAATTTAATTAGTCTGGTCAAAAATAATTGTAACATGAGCTTATATTAGCTTTATATAAAATTTGAAGCGTCCCTTTATACAATAAATTTTTTATTTAGCAGTAAATTATTGATTGCGTTACCTGCGTTAGCATAAATTAAAAAAATGTTAACATATGTGTGTGAGCACAATTATCATTATTAGTTTCTCTATGCATAGCATTTCGTAAATTTAATCTATATAAATCCGATCGTGCTTTTTTTATAAGGCTATTTTTTCTTGATTAATGTTTCTTATTTAGTTTGATGATTTATTCTTTTTATCATGTTGCATAAAAATATATCTTATTCATTTCCATTTTAATTTATCCGATGAAAGCTATTTTAATCGTTAAGTTTAAATACTATGAATAATATGAATGTTAATAGTCTAGAATGTGTAACAGCTTTTGGTATTAGTCAAATCATTTGACGACGTTGCAACCAAAAATCGTGAGTCATATGTGACCTCTTCTTCGTTTATGATCGTCTCGATGTGAATATGTCGTTGTAAATTGTGTGCCAAGTCATTTATCATCGTGCACACTTCGCATAAGTTTCTCAAATAGATCACAAAATCATCACAAATACACAGGATCATTAAATACACACACAGCTTTGATTTTTAACTTGATAACTTTAATTAGATTTGTGTTTCTTAGATAACCCTATTATAATTTAATATTTCTATCGAGTATAATTTTAATATAATTCTATCGAACTATAATAAACTTGTGCTTTTCTTTCCAGAATATAATATTCTATAATTACATATTAATGCTTGATTTGCATGTGATATGATTTTGTAAAATATATGTTTGATATAATTCATATGAATTTTCAGACTTTTTTTAATGCGATATTTAGTAAACTTTGAAAATAAAAGATTTTATTCAGATTTATTTATATCTATGAAATATATGATAAGAGAAAAAATTAAAATATAATAATTAAGAGCTGAGTCAGAATAAATAAATTCATAAATTGAATTATAAATATATAATATTTAATGCAATATTTAATAACGCGCGTGTCAACAATTAGCAATATATTAATTTAAAATAATGTAATTTCTAATTTTGTATAATAACACAATTATATAGAAAATATCAAACATATTATTCAACATAATATAATATAAAACAAATATGTGTATGTGTGTTATAATATATTTCATTAATATTTTTAATTTTAGAATCTTCTTACATCTCTATCTATTCTATTTTTTAAATATTAAAAATTTAAATATTACTATATGATTATAAAAATTATTATATGATAAATTTAAAAAAAAGATCATTCGAATTAAAAAAGATTAACTTTAATATTTTTCGCTTTCTTCTATTCAAAAAAATAATATATAAAAAAGTAAATCAAAAGACTGTAATATTATTTTTTATGAAATGAAATTCAAAAAGTTTTACAAATATATAAGAATATCTTGCAAATCATTTTCGAAGTTATCATGAAGTGGTAAGAACATTTTGAAGCTCTCTTGTTCTCCAATGCTACGAGATAGCACTACTAGTTTCATATTGAGAAAGAATGCGAAAATTTACATATATACATATATACATATATACATATATACATATCAAGCGATAAGAAAAACTAATTTTAAATAATATTTTTTTTAAATAACACACGAAACTAATTAATTCATTTTCTATAAATTATTACAAAATTATATTTATTGCAAATTTTTAAATTATTCCATTTTGCATATAGTCTTTTTAAAGCTATATTGCAATATCTACTTCAAAAATTAACATTCATATCCATTACTATCATATCGTAACAATTCAAACTCAGCTAATGTTTAATAATAAATATAATTTAATTCCTCGAATATTCATCGCAATTTATATGTAAAAAAATTAATTATTTTATTTCTGGATCATTTATATTTTGCAATTTGTAAAGTTTTAAACAATCGAATATTGCGCCGAAAGTGCAAACAAAAAAAAAAGATCGAGACTCCTCGCACAAAACACGTGTAAAGTCACCGAGTGAATTAGGGCTCTATTATTATCGTAATTATTGCCGGTCTGAAAGTCCCAATTAAGCGGCAAATGTTCCTCGAGCTACTTCTCGGGGGTGAAGAATTTCCGAGGAATTCGCGGCGGGTACGGCTAGGTGGTCGCCATTAATCCTCGCGCGTATGCGGTGACAACCACTGAATTAGTCGGGCGATCCGTCAAAAAGCGCATTTCCGTGGGTAGGCGTGCGTTATATCCGCCGTCTCTCTTTTTCTCTTCCTTTCCTTCTTTCTTGCTCTCTCTGTCAACGGAACACATGGCACTCTGCTTGCGGGACACGCGCAACACGCACACACGCACGCACGCTTCTGGCGCGAGATGAAAGAAGGATGCTTAAATGCATCAGAGCCAAAACATAGTTTAATTTCTATAAATATCAACATTAGAAAATATACAAAGTTGCAATAACACAATTTAAAATTACCAAAAATTACAATTTGAAGTAGCAAAGAATATCTGTCTTTCTAGCTCTTTTCCTCTGAACTGACTTTATGTATTGTATTTTAATTTTAAAAAATGAATTTTTTGAAGCAATTATTTTTCTAATGTAACAAATAACGCGGTTATTTATTTAGATTATATACCTATCCCCGTGCTTCTTTTCTCGTTTCCTTTGCAAAATGTTGTTTTGCTATGTTTCGTTGTTGAGTAAAATAAAAAAAGAAACTCTAAGACCTTTTACCTATAGATCATACAGGCACGTATTCATTGTGTCATTCGCTATAGTAAGATGTATTGAAGGAACACTATAGCAACATTTGAGCGATTACAGATGAAAGTAAAAGACCCTTTCGCTCGATGAACTTAGATTTATAAATGTGATTTATATACATATTTTGAATATTCTATATAAATTATAATTTAGAATACATTAATATGTATATAATATAGATTTACTATTTCATTATTTCTTTTCCCATATTTTTTACTGCCATTTAAAATATATTACGACAATATTTGATTATTGTTATTAATAATAACAAGGAGATTCCTTTTTGATTAATATCGTCTTGCTTTTAATCTCGCGAATAAAAATTCTACTCACATTACAATGCTTCTATAATGCACTGCGAAAACATTGCATACTTCTCTTACATTATCCAAGTTATTTCCGAGAGTAATATGTACGAGTATTCGTAAGTGCAAGAACTGCGAAAAACAGTTCAAAACTCTCGTTCTATCTGCGCTTGTTGTCTTTAAATTTTTTGCGCGGATATTCGTATTGCACGTGTTTCACCGAGTCTTAAGAAAGTTAGGCGAAAAATTTGTATCATGCAGGAAACATTTGTAAACTTGTCATCAAAATAATCAATGATTTCCGATTTTGTCATCTTCTTAGAAAACATTTCATAGGAAAGTTTTCTCATTTTTCATAAAAATTTTCTTGCAAAAGATCTACGATGTGCTTATAAATAGTTTTCTTTTAAAACTTTTTAAATAAAACAATATAATTTGTTTCGAATAC